GGGGGGGGGAAATAAGATTTTCCCTTTACTTTCGGATTCGCATTTCGCCTCGTTTTTTTAAGGAGCAAACGAAAACAGACGCGAGATGCGAGATGGCGAGATTGGAAGAGCGAGAAGTGCCGAGAAAGAAGGCGAAAAAAAAGTTCATGAGTCGAGGAAGGAAGGAAGGAAGGAATGGAACATCGTGAGTAAGGGTACGTACATGGAAAAATGCCAAGGCCATGACGAACTAAAGGTTATATGTCGGTCGGCCAATTTCCCACATCATGCAGCCAACACCAAGGCCACAAAAAAAACAAGAAGAGGTGAGGTGAGCGAACCAATCAACCAACCAACCAACCAAAACCGGGGAGGGGTTAAACTTCAAAGGTATATCAACATTTGCACATCACCATCAGCATCGCGTATCCACCCCGAAATCCTCCGGAGATTTAATATTAGTAAGATCGTAAGAAGAAGAGAGAAAAAAGAAAAGGGAAAAAAGGAAGAAAAAAAAGGTTTCTCGGCAACCATGCGATTGCACACTTTCGGGTGTAGCACTACCCGCAGTCCAGAAGACGCGACTATAGTTCAGAACGCAAGTAGGATACGCATCCTCTGGGCCTCATGGTGCGACGTGCTACTCGCATACTGTAATGTCTCCAGTAGCAGCAGTAGCAGCGAAGAGCAGCAGACATGGTATTTGCGATACCACGGCACAGGGCTAAGCCGAGCGCAACAAGACTATCTGCATGCGGCCAGGCAAGACGATGCGTTTGCAAAAGCGCTCGGAGAGGAAGAAGAAGAAGGGTGTACGGTGGTTTTTTTCGGAAGTACCATGCATCACGGACTACAAGGGTACATAGTCAGTTTTGGCGGTGAAAGCGGCGGGGGTCAAGAGGTTGTCTTGTTCACTACTACTGGTGCTGCGGAAGAAGAAGGAGAAGATGACGAGATGAAAAGTCAAAATGAAAGATTACATGACGTACACAGGTACTTCATACCGAGCAAACCCGACACTCTAAGAATCACCAACATCGCGATCCAAAGCGACGAGACACTGTTACTGAGTCTGAAGTCGGGCATCGCAAACAACACCTGCTACTTAGCAACAATCCCCGACATGGCGGAGCTGCGCGTCTGGCTTGCCGCCGGAGCGTTTGCGCTGGCGGCGGCGGCGGCGTCGTCGGCGGTACCTGTGAAACGCGCGCCGTATGACTCGCACGGGGCGCCGCAAGTAGTTAGCAACGCGACGACGACCAGCGTCTTGGGCTCCTCCGGCGGAGCTGTGTGGACATCAAGCAGCGGCGCGAGATATCAAGCTTGTGTGGGCCGGCCCTTTTCCCTTGACGGCGTGTTAGAGTTCCGTGCCATACCGTACCTCGAGCAGACGTGCGTCGCGCGTGTGGCGTCTGGGGGGTACATGAGTGCGGCGCTGAGTGCAGAGGGTGAGCTGTTTGTGTGGGGTCAGGCGTGTCCGGGTTCAACGGGCGACATGGACGTGCTGAATGGGAATGCGGATGGGCATGTGCCGAGTACGGGAATTGGGGCTGAGGAGGATGCCGATGAGTTTGTAAAGTGTCTCGAGGTAAGGATTAATGGCAAAGAGGCTCGTGTGTATCAAGTGGCAATTGGCCATGGACATATTTTGATAGCAGCAGAGTGTGGAAATGGTTCACCGGCCAAGGAAAGAGTAGTGTTTGGCGCCGGAGATAACAGTATGGGACAGCTTGGACTAGAAGAGCGGAGGTTTTATAGTGCGTTCCACGAAGTTCAAAGTCTGCGGGGTAAGTGCGTTGCTCAGTTGTATGCAGCGGGGTGGTCAAGCTTCGTTGTAACAGTCCAAAAGTAACCAAGAAAAATCTATGCTTTAGGTATAGTGGTCATGTGTTCATGTTGGGCATTTCAAATTGAAAGGCTTCTCGACGATACTAGGCTTTCAGGCGACAAGGGCCGGCCACATCCATGAGGCGCATCACCAAGACTATGCATAGGGTAGGTGAAACACCACGTTGGTTCTTTCTCAACCTGGCATGTTGAGACTAGCGGCCCGCTCCACCCGCGATGGGAGTCTGTGGGTGGTTGCAGGAGAGAGGCAGCGATGTTTCCAACAGCCGTGTTTGTAGCCAGCGTAGTCGAACTAATACTGCTCTGGTCTTATCTGAGCAACGTTGCTGGTTTGAGGATCGTCAGGAGCGTGCAAGCTCTGTGCGTCTCCCAAGACAAACTGCGATCTGCGTCGTTAACATGGGGGAACCTGGATGAGACCGCCAAAGGCAATGCGTGCTACTGAGATATAAACTACAAGTGCGGCCATCGGAAACAGTGGCTTAGATCGACCAGTATTGCATACTTGTATTGCACAGGATGGCAATAGACCAGCGTACAGGTGACGAAAGTAAGCACTGGAATGACTGTCAACAGACAGGTGTGTGTCGCTTGATGAATCAACAACAGCTTTCATTTTGGTGCAGACCGGAATGACTTTAGCAAATTCTGCAGGCGAGAGGCTTTGCTTAGTGTGGTGTCTGATAATGGAAAGAGTGCGCCAGTGGACGAGACTGACTAGCAGTGCTAGATAGAGTTAGTCCAGACGGATGTCTGACATGTGGAGCGACATGCAAAAATGTAGTGTAGTAGTATGAGCATGACCACCGGAATGTACTGAAAAAAAAACTGCTCACGTGGGGTCAGAATACGAGAGAACGAGCTATACGAGAGCAAGAGTCTAAGTAAAGGGTATTGTTGATAGTCCATGACAGAAGCCGTACGCAGTAAGCGCCTCGTACGACGAAAGGGCGGATAAGGCCGAAAGACAAAAAAGGCCGACAATGGATGTGTGTCAGTTGGCATTGATGGCTCAGGGACGGGGCGATGCGCAGAGGGAAGGGTGGTGGTGCCCGCGTTGGTGCTCGTGCTTATGGTTGTGTCTTTGCCGAATGGGGTCGCCGTGCACATGACAGGAGGCCGAAATTGCAAAAGCCAAGGTGGTGAGGTGTCAGAATAGGTGGTGTCTGGATGGATGAAGAGGGAGCCGGACCGGAAAGGGGAAGTGTGGTGGAGTGCATGTTCGTACTTTAGTCGCAAAGGCCATTGGCAGGTGGATGTGATGGCGTTGGAAGAGGAGGTGAAACGGGCGAGAGACATGTTGAGGGCAGCAGCCATCGGACAGAGGAGAGGCAATCTGAGCTATTGAGAGTAGGTGGAACAGCCCGATCGTGATAGGAGGGCGTTGGGGGGTGGGATGGGTTTCTTGTGGCAAGAGGAACAAAGTTTGGGTTGGTGATGCACATGGCCCGACAGGCAGGGTGGCTGCATTGATGCCTATTGCTATTCATGATGATGTCAAGCGGGAGAAGAAAAACAACGTGGGCGTGGTGTTGATGTTTCTGTGACCAAAGCTGTCGCAAGGCCCGTGACTCAACCGAATGCACAGGGGAGGCCGTGGGAGGGTGAATAATAGTTGCTTACTTAGTAGCGCAGGGGCCGTTTGCAGGGACATGGGGGGGATGCTGGCTAGGCGACAGAGTGGAGTGGCAACCATGTGTAGTGTAGATTTGGATATGGGCAACTAGCAAGTCGCACGTTGGGATGGAGCGTGGATGCTGCAGTATGGCCATGTTTCAGGCGGTTGGGAGTTCATTGGAGAGGTTGCGGCGGAGACAGCTCCGGCCCGTTGGGGAGTGTTTCCATGTGTAGGCGGAGAGGGTGTGGGTGTGTGAGTATGGGAATGAAATTGTGGCGGCGAGGCGGCGAGGCAGCGAGGCGGCACTTGGGCTTGGGTTTGCCGGGAAGGCAGGCAGGCAGGCACCCACCATTCGGCCATGCGCCTCGTTTCTCTCCACCATGCCCGACTGCATCGCGGGTCTCGCGCTGCAAAAATGCGGTGCTCAGCCTCTGCGCCCCTTGGCGCCGCCCTCGGTCGGGCCGAATTCGGTTCCTTGTCCTTTTTCCCTCCCACGGTCATTACAAGTTCATGAGGGCATGGCTGGCCTAGTGGCGCCCGTGCTAGCTGCATGCCGGTGGGCAACGACGAGCCGCGCAGCAGTACCTTGCAGGTTGCATGCCCGCACCGCACTTGGACTGGCTGCAGCATGCCAAAACAAAAAAAGAGAGACCCTTTTGCGGAGGGGAAATGGGATGGGATGGCGCGACTCATTGCCGTGCGCGCCCTATCGCCATATCGCCCGATTGTGTTGCGTGGACGGCGCTGATCGATGTGTCCCCCAAACGCTAGCTCGGCGGGCAGCCCGCCAGTCAGAGAGGCAGAGGGCATCGGTAGCAGGGCTGATCAGGCTGCAGGCCGGTGAGAAACACTTGGTCGAAGGCAAAAAGCAAGGGTGTCGTCGATCTCCTTGATCGCCTTACACAAAGCACGCGGATTGCTGGTGCTGGCGCAGTGGGTAGTGGAGACCAGACGGCTGCCGTGTGTAGTGAGTAGAGAGTGAGTGTGCTTTGATTACGTACTTACGTGGTACACGGTAGTAGCAGTCCTGTACCGCTGGTGCTGCACATCCAACCTCTTCTCATGGCCAGGCGTTGCTGCTACGCGTACAGTGTGTGACCAGACGAGAATGGGCTGCTGGTGCCAGTTGCCATGACGTTGGGTGAGGGCGCATGACAAGGCCATGAACCATGTCGACCCGGATTGGCCATTAGGCACGAAACGCCAGCGGGATCCGGCAGTAGGGTTATACGCCATCCAGGGGTACACGATAGTTCGTCCTTCTTTTCTGTCCTGGCCGGGGCCGTGCGACACGAAACCCATGCTCGCTCTTCCAAGTCAGTAAACGTCATGTGGCCATGCCAACTCTTCTGCGTTCCGTCGTCGGCTTGAGTGCCGTCCAGGCTGCGACGAGCTAACGCCCTCTGGACAGTCAAAGGCGACGGCAACCACTCATATCCTCCTCTCCCCGTCTGCGCCCAATGAGCCACGCCCGTTTTTCCCGCTTCTCAAGTACACTTGCTATCTCTGCAGTATCGCTTGCTTCTTTTTTCTCAAACCATACTTACCTCCCTGGCTTCCGACATCCACCCACCCATCCATCCATCCATCCATCCATACTTACTGCACAACCTCCCCCTCCCTCCCTCTCGCTTCTTTTGTGCTTCACCTCGCCTGGCCCGCACCTACTCACCCTCTCACCATCAGCCTACTACATACACATATACCACTCGTTCCACGGCTGCTACGGCCATGCACTAAGATCATCACCCGCTCATTCCGCCATCATACATTATTACTTACTATTCCCCTCCCCCCACATGCACAGCACTATGGAATCCCGCCAGTCGTCGCCTGTTGCTCGCTCCGCCAGCCCCCGCTACAGCATGCAGCGACAAAGAAGCAACTCGTTCCCCATCATCGACGCCCTTGGATGCACAACACCAGAGGCCCAACTCATCCTGGCCGAGAGCAGAGCTGCTGTCCGGAAACGCCGAGCCCGTCGCAACCAGTCGCTCGACGAGGAAGGCAGCCGACCCTTTGACCCCAGAGACCACATCAAGTTTCTGCAAGAACTCGCCGCCATCCCCACTCCTCAAGAACAACCCACTCCCTTTGGATCTAGCAGACACGCGCCCTCGCACTCACGCATTCCTTCAGACGCTACCGACCGAAGCACTTCAACCATCGTCCCATGTGACGATGGCGGACCTGTCCGGAACATTTCTCCCACGCTAGGCGACTATTCCGCCACCTTGGCCGAATTCATCAAGAACCAGCTCAAATCCATACCCACCTACCAGCCCGGCCCGGATTCTTCATTGCCTTTGTCGCCTCGCTCGTGTCCGGATCTGTCCTTTGCCACACAGTCGTCTCGCTCGTCGTCATGCCCATCGGTACGCCGCCCAGTCGAGAAACCACGCATAATCGAGATCCCCCCGATTCGAGCACCGGTCAAGAGCCAGTTCTCGGCATGGAGCTCGACTGACGAAGACACGGACGACGAGTCGCATGCCCTTACTGAATACGCTCTTTCGCTCGAGGACAGTCTTTCCAAGACGAGCAGCCATACGCCTTCAGTACTAGGCTACTACCAAACATCCGATTCCGGCAATGGTTCGTCATTTCTATTTTCGTCGACCCCGCTAGAGGACCAGTCTGAGGCTGATGCCGCCAAGGCATTTAAGTTTCCCTATCAGTCAGCACAACCTAGTTCCCCATCCGGCCAACCGGATTACGACCACTACCCGTCATCGTGTTCCCCTCATCCTCAGCTGACATCCTTGTCGGCTACATCGGCACCGTCGTTTACCTCGTCGTCCGTCTCACTGTCATACTTTGACTGCAAGCGACCATCAGCCATCACGCCACAAATGAAAGAGCGGGTCATTGCGGCTGTGACGCCTCCCCACCTACGCACCAAGAGGCTGAGTGCCATGTCGCCTTGGGATGGAAGTACACTCGGCAGTTCGCACGACGTTTACGTCGAGTCACAACAGCGTGTCACTGTCGACGGCATGTCGTTTGACATGCTGCGAGACTTTAATGCCTCAACCCGGCTTACGCCTTGCTAAGCATTTCCTTTGTCCGTTTCCTGCATCTTCTTTGTTTCTTAGCGTGTGCGTTTGGGGGTAGGCATTTTTCGTGTACACTAACCAGGATTTTTCCAGTCAGCTGGTCTGGCTTCAGCTTATGGGCGCCTTTTCTGCCTGCTTTTCACTTGTCGTTTTTTTCTTCTCCATACACGAAGTATCGTTTTGTAATTGTGGGTTTGGCGTTGAAGCTAGCCATCACATAGGCTTTCTTTTTTTTCCCTCCTTTCTTTTGTCATAGTTGGCTTTTGCTCCATTCTCGGTTCAGCGCTTACCTTGTTCCATGGATTGGCGTTATGGAACATTCGGTGTATGACGAATATACACGACCCGCACAACGCATTGCATTTCAAGTGTGGAGGAAGGACTTGAGGAATTTGTACATGGTCAGGTCGATAACACAAAGGACGAAGTTGCAGATTGCAAGACAGAGTTAGTCGGTGGTGAGCACAATGGCTGGGAGAGGTGGAGAAAACCGTATATTTTAGGCACACAATGCAACCATTTTGCCCACCAAGCTTTTTTAGCATCCCGAGCACCTGGGTCAACACATTGCGATGAACCATGAGGCACAGCAGGCCACCCGCACAATCCAGCGAGTCGCATCTCGACCGCCTGCAAGGTCCCGCTCATGCAGACGCGCCGATCTGAGGCCGGGGGTTGGGGGCACGGCTGGCGATCGGTCAAGTGGGGAGCGATGGCTTGTTTGATTGGTCTGTTGCCAAACGGCTACTTGGTCACTGGGGAACTCCAGCCGCGCCGCTAGTACATCCATCAACTCTCCATTGCTTCTTTGTCACAGCCGGCAGCAGCCATTGTCCAAGTCTGGTCGGCCTTTATTGCTTTTGTCTTCTTCTCCTGGCTCGCTTGCGCCCTTGTGCCCATCCTTGACCCCACGTTGCGCTCCTATCCCTTCTGGAGAGTTGAAACACACCACCCACCATAATTATCATCTACACGTCTGCGATCGCCATCACTCGTCCTCTCCGTCTTTACTGAACAGTGCGACTAGAAAAGAAAACCAGCAGCACAGCGATCCCATACCAGCGCCGCATGGCCGACTCGGACCCGGGGCTCTGGGCTCAAATCCTTGGAAAGGCTGCCTACGAGTTCTCGGTGATGCAGCCAATGCTACCCACCTACATCCACCTGATCGTCTCAGCCCTTTTCCCAATATACGCCGGCGCACACGCCTCCCTCACACGCCCGTCGACCGCTGCGAAACCCGCTAAGAAAAAAAAGAGGTCTAATACAAGCGATGACGACATGGAGGACGACGATGAGGACGACGACGACGACGAAGACGAGCAGCGCATTATGGAAGGCTTATCGCCCACGGATGCCCTGCTTATGCCTCTCTTTGCAGGGACCGCCCTGGCTTCGCTATACTTTCTTCTCAAGTGGATGAAGGACCCCGCCCTGCTCAACAAAATCCTCAATGCCTACTTTGCCGTCTTCGGCGTCTTCTCCGTCTCACGATTGGTCACCGACCTCCTTGACGTTGGTCACACCATACTATACCCGCGCCGACATGTCGTTGGTCGAGCGCTATATCACGTTGACGGCGAGGCGGTCAAGGCGGTTCCGGTAGCTGGTGATGTACAGGGCAAGCAGCCGCTCGCCACGCCTCTACCAGGTTTCCTTTCTAAGATCCCACTGTCTGAAGGGGCAAGGAATCTATTCTGGGCTGATCGAGCTATGCCAGGCAGCAAATGGACGTTGAAACTCTACATACATCGCGTCTTCGCCGGCAAGTTCAAGATGGGGCCTCATGGCATGGTCGGCGTTTTGACTGGCCTCACAACTGTAGCTTACTTCAACTTGGTTGACAAGCCATGGTATTTGACAAATTTACTGGGCTTTGGGTTTTCATACGGTGCCTTGCAGCTCATGTCGCCCACGACATTTGCCACAGGTAGTCTGATTTTAGGCGCGCTCTTCTTCTACGACATTTACTTTGTCTTTTTTACGTAAGGCACCTTTTTTTATTGTATTCCAAACGTGGCTAACACATACTTTAGGCCCATGATGGTGACTGTGGCAAAGTCACTCGACGTGCCAATCAAACTCATGTTCCCACGACCGGCCGCAGCCGACGATCCCACCTCAGTCCCCTCACACGCCATGCTTGGTCTAGGTGATGTCGTCTTGCCCGGCATTATGATTGGTCTTGCCTTGCGTTTTGATCTGTATCTCTTCTACCTCCGTCGCCAGACGCGCAGACCCGCTGTTGCAGGAGAAGGCCAAGAAATTGTTGAGAAGCCAAAATACTACTCGCTAACCGGCCGCTGGACCGACTACTTCTGGACGCATTCCCTTACAGGCCGGCCACTCTGGGCTGATGCCAAGACGATTGCCGAAACAGAGGCTCCTTTTACATTCCCAAAGACATACTTTAATGCTGGCTTAGTTGGCTATATACTGGGCTTATTGGCTACCCTCAGCGTCATGATGATCTGGAATCATGCACAACCCGCGCTGCTTTATTTGGTCCCTGGCGTGCTCGGCAGCGTCTGGCTTACCGCTCTCGTCCGCGGTGAAATTAACCTAATGTGGAACTATACCGAAGAGATTGAGGACGAAGAGCAGGAGAAAGAGCCGGCAGAGGCTAGTAATGCTTCTGATCCCAAGAGTCCTCTGCCCAAGAATGAATCAAGCAACGGACAGGCATCGCAAAAGAAGCGGACTTCGAACCGGAAATCAGACAAAGAAGTCTTCTCCTTGTCCATTGAGGCCCCATGGCAACTCAAGAAGCCAAACGAGGACCATGGCGATAGCGAGAAACCAAAGGCTACTAGCGAAAAAAATATTTCGCAGAGCATCGATACCGAAAAACATAATTGGGTAGCGTCGACCACTACGGCTGTCGAGCGCGTAGATACTGAGCCCGCGGGCAAGCGTCTCCGCGTGAAGTAATTGAAATGAAAAGATGACGTCAAATCCTGGTCCCCTTCTTTACCCTTTTCTTCAGGGGTTCTTTATGAAGTCGGACATTGGCATCGTGTGAACGTCATGATTGGCTGGTTTGACTCATAGAGCGTGCATAGCGAAATGGCGTTTTTTTATGTTGAGTCTCTAATGAGGTCTTGGGGCTGGAAATGAATGAAATGAATGCATGCATGGAGTGCACATGTGCGGTTTCAATGGTCTCGTGTAAAATGAAACTCTGAGTAATGCCAATGTTCAGACGACCTGTTCTCATCTTAGCCTGGCGACTTGCCACTTTTCCAACTTGTCACAGCCCGTGTATGCTATACCGCCCAGCGCCAAGATCTCCACAGTCGACGATACAAGTACCACAGTATTCTCGCATGGGAAAGTCGCAATTGCGCTAGTGTCGAACCGGATTGTAACACAAAGCGAGCCCCCCGCCCCGCTAGTACTACATACGTATACAGGCCACCACCACTCTCATTTAAACCTATTAAACGCCAGATTTGCCTTGCCTCGCCACCACCATCCGCCATCCCCGATCACTTCTACCATCCCGCCATTCCCAACCTAATGAAAAAAAACGTGCCGCACCTTGCAAATCCCCCATTACCATTTTTCAGCTCCTCAGCCT